GTCATCTACGCCAATTCACTAGAGGAACATGAAAGGAAGTATAAACTATTAATCGATCGGCTCCGGAAGGCTAATTTAAAATTACAACCCGACAAATGCGAATTCTTAAAAACTGAAGTAACTTATCTGGGACATATAATCAGTAAAGATGGAGTTAGACCGGACCCTAAGAAATTAGAAGCTGTACGACAATTTCCTAGGCCTAAAACGCCTAAGAATATTAAGCAATTCCTTGGATTAGCAGGATATTACCGAAGATTTATACATAATTTTTCAAAATTAGCAAAGATTTTAACAAATCTACTAAAAAACAACACACCTTTCGAATGGACCACACAACCTCAACATGTCGAAAGAAAAACCAGCACGGGTGTTAAGTGAGTTCGAAAGAAGGGCAATTGAACTAGGAGAGTCTCTTGAAATAGGTTTACCCTTAGAGGGATTCGAGGATTATCCGGTAGAGGTAGGACCTCGCTCATCACGAGCCATGCCAACCACCTCCAAAGAATCTGATACCCAGACACCACACACAAGAGGAACCCAGGCCGGGCCAGAGACACGAGCAGCAAAGAGAACACTGCGTCAGACTCTACCTACTGAACCACCTCCAAAGAAAACACCACCCAATCAATTAACGAGGATAGAGACTCAGCTTCATGACCTCTACACATTGGTAGCCACAGGCTTCTCCAAGGTAGAGTTGAACCAGCAGAAAATTATGGCACTCCTAGAAGAGCAAGGCACGAGAATCGGTGTTGCCGAGACAAGAATCACATCCTTAACCATTGCGAGGAAAGAACAACACATACAAACCATGAGACAAACAGAAGCACCCAGGGCTCATGAGCCGACACCTCATGCACCCGAAAAGAAATCGTTTGGTGGACTAGGATTCGCATGATCTCATAAGAAACTTACGACAATAGAATTTTATCTTTATAAAAAAAAAAAAAAAAAATATAATAATAATAATAATAAAAATATAAATATATAATAATAATAATAATAATAATAATAATAATATAATGTTAAAAGCTCACATATACGCGTACATATATATTTCATAGGGTAAAATAAAATAATACGTTCAATTGACTAATTGCGACCCATTATACATTGTGTTAATTACAAGTCTCTCAATTGTAACCACTATTAACATTAAGTTAATATTAACGTAATGCGAAACAAGCATAAAAAGCCGAAACATCACACCTAATCATATTCTAATTATTATTAAGGTTATCCATAAAAGTTTCTTTCGATTCGTAATATTAACCTACCCTTTTTTTTGATTATATTAAAATAATATATAGTAAATACTTATAGTTTATACACATTCTTGTACGCACATTTGCGCCCCAGCAACGTACTGTATTACATAATAAATTACTGTGCGCAATAAGGAGTACGAAAGAATTTAGGAAGGGGTTTTGGAGGTCGCCTTTTCTTTCCTACTTCTTTTTAATACTCCGAAGGTGCGATAACTAACCATCGAAAGAAAAGAATCAATTACTTTATTAATTTTGCAAATGTCGTGTATCCCCCAACATTTGTCTAAGGCGGGGGGTGTTACGTCCTGAGGACTCCACGATTCTTTTCTTTCGTGGAAAATGTCAAAGTTAGCCGCCGAAA